CGTATCCTCGAAGCTTGGTTAGAAAGATGCAATGATTCAACCGGTTGAATACCTTAGAGAAGTCGAGGTAGACATTAAATTCTACACCAACATCCACTGGTTCGGTCCAACTGTCTCGTGCTAACAGCAAATTGCTAGTGAATGACCGGTTCCTGCGGAAGCTGTTGTGTGATGTAGCCAAGTTAGTCAATGAAAGACATGAATGTCAGCAATGATAGCCTCTATGATGGAAGCAACAGTTGGTAGGATTAGTCGAGCTTCCTGCGTCGTGAAAACGAACCAACCACCGTGAATTTGTCGCAAATAAAAGGAAGCATGTAAGCTGAAGTGGAGGTTGTGACAACATCACAGACTCAGAGCATTCAAACTATGAGCCATCATGGGACAAGCAAGAAAGAAAGACAAAACCTGCAAATCGGAAGCACAATAAATCGAATTCACCAATTTCAGTGGCTGTTGGGCGATAGCTAGAACCAGATGTGTCGGTGCAGTTCTGCAGCAGCACACTGAAGATGCAAAGCACATGCTGAAGCGTGCAGCGTTACGCACCAGTGTATCCAGTAGTATTTGCATAGCCACTGCGTCAGACCCAAGAAGTTATGTTATTCGCATACTCAAGGTTTGTCAGTCGGTCATCTGGTAGAGTCTGAAAGATCGTAGTCATGATCATTTCGATAAGAAAGTTGAAAAGGAACAGATATACAGGACAACCATGGCTAACCCCACTTGTGTTGGTGAACTCAAGAGACAGTTTCCCGCAGGGTTTCGGTAGAGACTGCATAATGGAAAGGTACTTAGCCGGTACGCCCTTCACGGATAGGCAATGCCACAAGCTGGCGCGGTTGACAGAGTCGAAAGCATATTTCAAGAAAAACCACCATAGTCACTTCATCATGTAGTTCAATACTGACATCCACTATGTTTCAGATGCAGTAAAACAAACCGCTGACGCTCGCTCACAAATCAACCTACAGTGGAACTAGCTGCCATGACATCAGCCTATGCTTGCAGCGCACTCTGCAATTCAGTTCACCCTACAGGCGAACCTTAAGGCTACGGGCAGGCCGTAGCCTTAAGAATCCCAAGCTTGCCATGTAAGTTGAGGGTGCGGATTCGAGCCTGAGTAGTGACCGGGAGACTCTCGCAGTATCCTTCGCCTACGTGCGACCGGTGGTGCTTGCGCAGCAGCGAAGCGTCGTACTACTGATGCCTTTTTTACTTTACATGCAACCCTTCTTCTTCCAACCACCAATGGATCGCTTCCATGTGGTATATCCTAGACCCTTCGATTATGCCTTTCCCAGACGAAGTCCTTAGCACTTTTCACGCTCGCCCACATTTTGGAAGACGGTCAGGTTTCGTTTGGCCAGTTGTACGCAAGAATCTTCATACCTAGGTCGGCCTTGGACTTCACTGCCAGCGCTATAAAATACATCGGCATAAGTGCAATCCTCTCACTTCATTCTCCCGTTCCTCTCATGCATACGCTTTGCAGGTTCCCCGCCTCCTTCCACCAGCTCGTGCTCATCAAATCGACTTCTTTATTCCTCGACCGAATGCAATCACCGAGAGAGTCAACCGCGTAACCATGCGCATCTCTCATCACCAATCCCCGCAAACGGTCTTCGAAGCCTAAAGCTTTTAGGCTACCGCTGTATTCACATGACGGTATAACACCCAGCAACTAACGACCCAGTTAAAAGCTTCCGAGACAAGTTCAGTCTTCGCTCTGGGCATTCGCAAACCGACACATAAACACCAATTAACATCCTAGACATTGGTAATATCAGAGGCGGCCTGAAATGCGCACTGACAGAGCTGATCCATGTAAATTTTATATATATATATATATATATATATATATATATATATATATATATATATATATATAGGTATACACTCACAATCTGGTAACAGACAATGTGCCATCAGAACCTTGGCTACAAGGGAGACATGAAATACAAAGGCAGAATAAGACGACTTTTTTGCAAGCCACTGAGTTTTTGTTTTGGAGTGTTTATGTTCAATTGGACATTAATGAATAGATGATGCGGTTAAACAACACTGTCGCCACTGATGTCTGTTGCGCGCCATAATACCTAGCGTTTCCAACCACTGTGAGGCAGAATCGCGTAGTCCACATCCTGGAAAGCGGACCGGTCCGACGGATGCTAAGCTTGAGGTTGTCTTCCTCATTGCTTCTTCTCCACGTCAGTGGTTGTTCATCACAGCACTTTTTCTAATCGCTTCCGGAGAGCACAAATAACGCTCGACTCGGAAGGCGATATTTTGGAAAGCGCAATACGTGACCGATCCAACGCATGCGCTGTTGCAGAACAACCTTTAAGGACGCATAAGTTGTTCACCCCAAGCACTCGGTCTCGGATTTCCGTGTTGCTTACGTGATGCTGCCACTACAAGCGAGCGATCCTAAGGAGACAACGATTGTCGACAAGTGACAGTCGTTGCATATCTTCCAAGCGAATAGGCCAGGTTTCACAATCATGCAAGAAGACCGCATGGACAGTGGCAATGTACACCCTGGGAGAGTTCGTGTCACCCATACCCCGTCCAACCACGCAGCTTCCCTCGTCAAACGAATGCGTTCATTACGCCTGACTCCTCCTAGTTAGCAAGCCAAAAAGGTTTAAATGCACAACGAAGCTAATTTGTACTCACGTTTATCAAGTATAGTCGTAAAGCGTAAAACCAGAAGTCACGAAATAACGGCGCATACCAACCGCTTTCAAATGACTACTGGACGACTCGCTCAAAAGGCCGTCGCTGGTTTCGCAACTGAGCGACGTGACTAGTAACGCAGTCCATCCGGAGGCCTCTAACTAGGTAATCGGTGGGTATCAGTCAACTTAAAGCTATCGATCAACCTCCCCACAACAATTGTCGTGTGACTGACTGGACCACACAGTGATGTCGATGAAAGAAGCATCCCAGATTGACCGGTCTGCAGACAGATATGTGAGCAGCATGACGTCGAAGCAAAGGTGCAGTCTCATTGGGAAGACGATAGTACAACAATGTCAAACGATCACCTGCTCACAAACTTTGGTCGCCCATCATCGAGGGCAAAACATAGGCGCGTAATCCCAGGTTACAAGAGATGACTAAGATAATGGGGCGAAAAACTAATGAACGATCAAATGCCTTAAGGAAACGGTTGGTACCAAGACATCACCACATCGCCAAACTGTATGATCGCAAACAATAGGCGATATCAGCGAGTCAAAGTCGGTGTGAATTTCGCCACTTTGTGTCGCAACGAACTTTACAAACACTTCAACAGATAGAACGGCTAGAGGACGACAGAAAGTGCATCATCGTTGCCAGGTGACGGCCATAGCAAATGGACTTTAGCAGAGTTCAGCACTGACCCAAATGAGTTAAAATGTTGCGGTCAAAGAGCTGAACGACGTTCCCGATTGTAAATTAGAACGCTTTTCCTGATTGTCTCTTTCTTTGGATTTCTTGCAACCAGTAATGTGATTTTGTTTGTAGAGCTTGTCAAGTTGACCAACGCTCCCACATGCTCTAGTTACCAGCGTGCCAATCGAGTTTTTTGGTCAGCTGGCAGAATCTCTCTTACCCCATGTCCCTAAATCCTTCGGGCCACATTGTTTTCAGTGCCGACACGGATCCTCCTACTGAATTCTAGCAGTTCCACCTACTGACCGGTTGAACAATGTGCAGTATGATCACGACTGATAGCGCCATAACGGTGGCGGGAACCTTGCCCCACCGAAACTTGGAGCGAGATGTCGCAGATATAGTTCACAGATGATTATTGTGAAGTGGCCAAATCCAGACGGCAACAGTTTCTCGAGGATTATTCGTTGTATTTCCTGGTGCAAGAGAAAAGTTTGTATCGAGTTAGAATTGGGATGCGCGCTCCAAAACCAGTGAAACAGTCAAGGATGGTATCACGCTATTTGAAGTTGACCCGCTTCGGTTAATTGAATAACCAACACCAGTTGGTACCTCGACGTTCACCGGGTCTGAGGATTGTTGAGCTAGAAAGTAGACAAGCAGTTACCATAAACACTTTTGGTTGATCGCGCACCCGGAATGAAGTCCGGACATGCTAGCTATATGAATTCCTTGGGAATTCAGATGGCCATATTAAGCATTTATGCTCCCGATAACTTGGAGTACAACTGAAATGTATACAAAATGTAGTGCCGTGATAAATTCCTGGTGGAAGACCTCCCTAGTAATGGCTAATCGACGACTGTGTACGTGAGATTTTCTTGGTTGATGAAAAATGAGTTGCTGTCCACGGAAACCCAATAAACGAGTGTGCAATCAAGTCTGGAACTGAAGACGGCACCCAGTTCATGTTGGCACGGTACTGCTAAACTAGAACCTCCGAATGAGTGCAATCAATAACGATGCGGTAATCTAAGCGAGGCTCTTTCGATAGCTGCTGGATGCTGTACCGCATCAGATAGTATCTCTGTAGGAACTCAATAGGTAAGAGGTCGTCGAGCTTAGCCAAGAATGCCATTGTCATTTCCCTTCTCTCTACATGTCCACTCCTTCTTCCGTGTCGTTAGAAAAGCCATCGCCCGTGCGCATTCATGTCATCCTTCTAGTTGGGTCCACTTCCCATTCTGCCCCGACTCTTACTAGGTGATTGTGATGAAACTATCCAGGCGCCTACGTTTGCATTTCAGTCCACTTGGCCTACCAAGACCCCCGTACGCTCTGGACATTGAAACCCTCGGAGCCCTCGACCAGACGCATAATACAGGTGTCATGCATTTTGAGTTCGGTGATGCAGTAAAAGTCAACATTCGCAATCTCCATGGGAGGGGGAGGTGCAATCCGATACCGTAGCAGTGTTAGGGCACGAGTGCAGAATTCAACCAAGAGAGTACAATAACGTAGCCGGGTGAGCAGAATGCCGCAGACACCGTGGTCGCACAGGTAGAAAAGTTCAGTGAAAGTGGCCACTGAGATCGGATGGGGCACGAGAGAAACAGAATGATGAAGGAGGTATAGACAATGATCTGTTTTTGCTTGTCCGCGTTACCGTATGCTGCAGCTAAAAGGACCCTTAAACAACCCGAATGACAGATATGGGTGAGAGTAAATTTGATAAAACAATTACTGTTGTGTGCTTATTGGGTTGCTTCCAGAACAAAGCAGAAGGCTTGATTGCAAGCATGGGAAAAAGATTCCGGGTAGCGAAACTGGCTCGATGAATCACAGGGAAAGAAATGGTGGGGGATTTCGTAAACAGTTGGCTTCAGTAACGAAGTAGAGGGGGGGGAATGATTCAGTAAAGAGAGCCAAGCCACGGAGTCATGCTATCAGACCGCAGTACACTGACTCATAACGAGTGTGTTCATGTGAGTAGCTTGGCTTAAAACCGCGCAAACAATGAGACAAATTCAGGTGACTAAAAAGTGGCTAAATTCGTGAATGAGAACACAACAGTGTGACGTTAATAGCGGGTAGTGGAATTATTATCTTCATAAAGGAGTAAATATTGCATGAGTTATGTGTTTTGATTTAAGCGGTTATCTTATTCTTAGTGCATGGAAGGCTAGATATATCAGTGATGGATAACAACTAAAATAGTATGAGTTCATTGTGGGGGGGTTCGATTTTGAATGGATCGTAGCGTGCAATCACAAGTTGGACTGCGATTCACTTTGAAGCGAAGTTCGGCCAACACTGGGTGTTGAATACTTGGAGCCCAGTAAAAGAATTACTTGGGAATTCAGGCGAAGTGGTAGCCGCTGAATCGTCTCCAATCAACAGCGGAAGCGGCGGGAAACAAACGAATGTGGCAGACAAACTACTAGTTAAACGAATTATATGAAATGGTGTGGAACGATACAGGATGTTGTTTTGGCCTAAATTCGCCTTTGGTGAACCTCAGTCGCTAACAGCTTACAAACGCGTGTATAGGCGATACGCTTTCCTGAAAACCCCTAAAATACATGAAAACACCGAATGAGGGCAAAATAGACGTGCTTGAAATGATCAGGAGATTGAAAACAAAACAGAGAATGAGTGTGATATTCGGGTGGGAATTTACAAAATTCGCGTGAAATCGGTGGTCATTACGTCTCGTAGTATGTTTAGTATGGACACTTTCAGACGGGTGCCTGAATCGGTCAGACATATAAATGGAAGGGGCAAGCATGGCTCCCAGGTTGAAAGCAGTCGAATAGTTTGATGATGACCGTTATCACCGTCGCGGAACAGAAACAAGGATGGGCCTCGTAAATCCCATATGAACAAACTAAGCGCATCAGAGTAAGAAAGTGCTGGAGCAAGGCCAACAGGTACAGAAATCAAACTAAAAAGAACGCAAAAAAGCGAAGAGATACAGTTGCGCAAGAGCAAGGGGAACAATGTCGCTTCTTGGCAATTGGCAGGTGAAAGGGAACAAAACAAAGGAACAATGTACACTAATTACAACAGTCACCGTCTGACATGACCCAGCGACTGGCGAACGAGGGTAAGAGAATATGGAGTAGGCGTGCTCATAAATGTACAGTATGTATAAGAATAGTTGCGAAAACATGTGGATATTTGCTTCGCTAGTGTGCGTACTCCTAGGTACAAGGAGTGCGCGATTCCGGGTAACCGGGAGGCATGGATCTGTATGATACACTCATGGCAATGCGAGGAAGCGCAAAGGGACACGAAGCGCTTGCATATACATATATATGTATATGTACAAACAATCGAAGATGAATGGGTAGTCGTCGCGAATAGTAAGCGGGGGGCAGAGTACAACGGTTGACAGTTTGGTATACCACCGCACGTGGACAATCCAACAGCGATGAAAGTAAGGCAACAACGCTCACATAGTTTGACGCTGCGATGACAGACAGAAGCGTGGCGCAGTCTGGCACCCCTTCGATCGACAAAAGGAAACATATGTGGAGAAAAATAGCGGAGATGGGGGTGAAGAGCAATAGAGATGTGATGGTACTGAAGAGTTGTAACGGAACTTGGACTGGGGGAGTAGAAGACAAGCCAATGAACAGGGAATGGCTGTAGAGCTGTCTGTACTTGATGAACTGAGTTTGAAAAGCATGTAAATCCTAAAGAAAGGACTGGTAGCCTATAGGCAGCGGGACAAAAATCGCAACCACTCTAAGTGATTGGGCAGTGTCTATGTAAATAAAACCAATGCTTCTGCTGACAATCTCATATGTGAACCGCCAGTGTGCAACAATCAACCGAAGGAAAACAAGTAACAGGGTAGGGGAAGAGAGAGAGATGAACCAAAAGCTAAACGATGAGAGTTATACGAGTCAGTTAATAGGTCAAATGATGGATCAAACTGTGCTAGACATCGAGAAATTTAGATAATTTTCTGTGAAGGGTCGGCGGTCCCAACACCGCTGTCCGTTTTGCCAGAAAATCCATTTTTGTTTCCTGCACCAGAAGTGCTACCGCCGCCGGTGGTGGTGGACGTTGTACATGACATGCCGGGTGTCGCAGTGGATACCTTTGACGGTGCGTTGCTAGACGACAAAGTGTTGGCAGTGACGCTGGTGTTAGTTACTCCACTGTTATCAACGATAGCACTGTGGGCGGTGCTATTACTGCCGCCTGAGTTACTACTGATGTTACTTGCGCCATTGTATTTTTCCAATTTGGCAATGATGTGCTTGCCGTAATTGAATTTACGAAGAAGGTTTTGGATAGGTCTAATACGGCTGATAAGAGAGCGTCTCTGTTCGGCGTCTGCTAACTCGAGCATACGCTGGACAACATAATTTGCATATTGATCCTTCATCATCTCGACCAAGGAGGAATTGGAGGATGTTGCGTTAGACACGATCGAGTCTCCACTCAGATTCACACTGGTCGGTGGGTGGAGAATTTCCTCGATCAGTAGAGCCCGCTCCGATGGTAGAGCGTTCGCAATTGCCTTTTCCATAACGTTTGATGCAAACTTGTGGGCGCTTAGAACGGAGACACGACCACGCAGGCTTTGAATGATACGAGACTTATCTTCAATCGATCCGTGCTCGAGGACATGCTGTAACGTATGAAAAGTGAAACTATAACATACCATTCACTAAGATATCACCACTAGAGATAACCGCATAGCTTGAACAAAAATACATGAATGTAAACATAAGGCCGTGTACAGGAATCCAGTCGAAAAGATTACCTTCAACATATCTACCGAGAGCAATACCGACTCCACTGTCACTTCGAGCCATAGGGTAGATATCAGCAGAGATGTGGAAATTATGGTTATTACGAGCAATGTTTTCACTGCTGAGTCACTTACTGTTCTACAATGCGGATTGGATGGATTTCGGCTGTGGTAGTGGCCCAGATCACCTATATACAACGCTTACAAATGCTGCAAAGTAACATTCCCTCTCCTCCGTACTGACAAAATTCTGACTGACAAATACTTCTCGTCTTATGGAAGTTAGCGACCACATCATACCGAGTTCATCCACTACATAATAGCTTGATGTATATTTATCCCATAATCTATACTGGTCAACACAGTTGAAGAAACGTCACGCAAGATGATAAGATTGACATTTTATGTCCGACATCATGCTCTGTAATTTATAACTGCCTCTAGTTTTTCTCACTGATTGTGCCGATCACCTAGCATTACCTTGGTTTTTTACAAAAAATAATTCACAATGATTGTGCGTTCCGATAAGAGAATTCTCAGGTGTAGTTAACTGCTTATTATTTGGTTGACTTCATTGTTAGTAAACATCACGGTACATGTGGCAACTTTTACCAAAGGTTTTAAATGATTCTTTTTACACCAACCGCAAGATGATTTAATAAAAGTTGTCGCCCTTCCGTCTAGGCGTTCCAAATTTAGGGCTTTGTTTTCTCGTACAACATCTTACCATAACTCTATCTTGCCGTACTTATGCAGTTCACTTGTGACCTCCAAAAAAGTTGTCAATATAAAGCAGGAGCGTTTACTTGAGCGACATAATTGCATGCTTTATATTTTTCGCCCTTTGCCTGTAATGTTAGATTAATGTCATGACCCATAACATACGCAGAGATACTGCAAACTGCCGAAAATATTTCCCGTTCAGTGAAAAAAGTCCATTTTGACTTAACTGACTTAAACAAGCAGCGCCCAGCTTGTCCTCTCGACACTGATTACACGTATTCGAAGACACTGGTGCGGTGGCCATAGATCAAGCTGGAATAAACATTATTTTCAAACCTGGAGCTGAAGCAACGCTAGTTGGTTGGATTCCCTTTAGGTGCCGTCCGTGTGTAACCACTTTGACACATTGGGGCGCACAATCAGTTCTAGATGCTATATGGTTGTTATCGTCGTTTATGTACTCACCGAGTGCAATGCTGTGCTTCGCAATGTTATTTACAAGGTACGAGAAGTGGAAAGCCGTAAGGTCGCCTAGGAATATCAGAAGTAAAGCCAAATGGCAAGCTCAAACTTTTAAACGGTGAGTGTTGGTTGCAAATGTGTGTTAATCACCGGAAGATAGCTACCAATGAGATGCTCGAGAGGGCAAAAGTTGGACTGGGTAGTGAAAATGTAGTCACTGACAACCAAACTGAGTGCTGTTGGACCACCTCACCTTCCAGGCTCAGCTCCGACCAACCATCTTCGTGACTTGTTCCACACATGTCTCGGAGCCTGTACTAGTGATATGTTTGCTAACATCTCTCCGTCGGACTTACTACTGAAAATATATCAAATGCTGAGTTGTCTGTGGAGCATGGTTGACTACGACGTAGGAAAGTCGAAGCCACAAAGAATATGTTTCGCACATGTTGCCACACTTTCGCACGACACTCAAATTTATGTGATCGTGTGTTTGTAAGGTTTAGGTGACTTAACTCCGAATACTTGCTTAGGGCATTTACGTCTTGCACTAGGTGCATTCACTTGTCCCTCTTATTAAACCGCATTCCGCAAGACATCAAGCGTGTATGCCAGCGAGATAACGGTTAAAATTAATGACGTATTAATGCTGATGGTGATGATCCGTACGAATAGCTACAATTCTAGCAACACAAACATGACGCACTCAAAGAAGGTAGTTCCTGTGCGAAAAACGTTCAATGTAGCACAACAGTCAGTTGCGAAAAACCGGATGGCGAACAGCGTACATAATCACGCGGTGTTCTCACCAGATATGAGTAACTGATTGGGAAGCGAACAACGCCTAACGACTTCAAATCTCAGTGGCTGTCAAACTGCAGCAATATGAGTCGCAAGTCTGTTTAGAACAGTCTATCAAATAAGATTCGTGGACCCGGCAGAGCTGAATCAAGCTTCTCTGACAAACACTGCAAAAAACCAATACTACTAATAACAGAACGCGCAACAAAAAGTCGTCAGATAGAGTACTCACTGATCAGAAATGAATGATCGGATACGCGAATCACATCGCAATTTTCATAGGAACATACGACATAGAGCGCCCAAGCACTGATGGGGCCGACGTCAAGCTCCCTTCGTTCAGGATAGTGGCAAACACCAACCCTGCTCAGTCTTCCGGTTAGCGCCTTCGTGCTTTTGTCCATCTACTGACTGACTACCACAACGTCTCACCCAACTGAATGCAATATTGATAAACAACACGTCGGCGATGCAGGCTGCAGGTATGGGTATCCCATGTTCGAGCTGGTGGAAACGATTCGAATTCAAGAGGCACATCAAAGAGACGCTAGAGAGGTTTATGCCAGATGCCGGACTTCATTACTCATCCGAGTCTCCCACGATACACGAGCGACAGGGTGCGGGAATCGGTGGTCCGTCAAGGTGGTTTCCTGATGTCTTCAAAATGTATCGGCCCACCCGTGGCCTAAAGGTAACGAGCTCGTCTTGTAACCTGACAGCGCGGGTTTGAGCCTGCGTAGGGGCGAGGCGATCCACCCAGTATCCTTAGCCCATGCGCGACCGGTGGTGGTTGAGCAGCAGCGAAGCGTCGGTACTGTGTATCGGCGTACTGTCGATGCCTTTCTTTTATTCTTTCATATACAGCCAAACCTATCTAACGCGACTACTCAATGGATCCACAAAAAGTGAGCGGCATGGGCATGGCATAGGGATATTAATATATAGGAGAAAAAGTTGGGGATATTTTTGGCTGGTCACCATAGCAGATTGGACTGTAGCCGATTCGCAGAGTAACACTGGTCGCATCGCAGTGTCGAACAACCTTTTTCTGACCAATAGGCTTAAAACTCGCTGTCTCCATAAGTTACTTAAGCCTTGAAAAACGATATGAGACCAAGGCAACCTTTTCGGTGATGTGACCACAATGGGTGATACAGATAATCAGGTGGGTAAACCGAGTTATACATGACCACAAACATCCACCATCAATCAAATCAGATAAGTTCCAATTGAAATTAGAGCTACATGACGTGCAAGCATCTGGTGAAAAGTAGGAATGCAATCAAAGCATTGCTTCACTGATTCAACTGCGACAAAAAACATTGAGCGGCCGAGTATGATCAGCAGTTTGAAAGTAACGAAGATCAGACTGGTGCCAAAATGACTTTTGCGGAAGGCTCCATACCCTCTTTAAAGATGAGAAATAATGACTGCTGACTGCCAGATGGAATTCTCTTCTTTGCATAAGGCACTCGCTAGTGAATCGCCAGCGTCTTTCAGTAGCGACAATGAAAGTTCGATCGGAACAGGCGCAGTCGATCAAAGAACAAGGAAAGAATGTGTGAAGAACATCCGACAGTAACTTTTATCTCATGGAAGTAATCAGTAAGAAAACAATATATTATGCTCGGAGGGAAGTGTTCTACCATGACTAGAAGAAACGCAAAGAAGATATCGGGTGCACAAAAAATGCATAAGAGTAAGAATTCAAAATTGCAGCTCACCTGGATGACGTAATTTCCATACTGATCCTTAACAAGGTGCTCCACGCCCTTGTGTAATTCTTCTAAGATCGGTCTTGTCTGTTCCACCAGGCAGTGTTCTAGAATGCGCTGTATCACCCGACACCCGTAAGGATGTGATGAGAGCAAAACGACCTGCGAAAGAACAGAAACTCGTCTTGTCGAAAGCACACATTGGAAATGTCGAATGACATTCGGTAAGATCGAAAGTAAACTCACCTGGCCACGAAATGCTGCGATGATAAAGTCCAACTCTGAAGGTGGAACGCATTCAATACATTTCTGGATGACGTGGTTGCCATTCTGGTCCTTCACACATCGCGTGACGTATGGCCGTAATTCGCTGACTATCTGGATTTTCGCCTCAGGTGGCACCGATTCCAAAGCCTTTTGGATAACGCGACAACCGTACATCTGGGTGGCAAACTCAACCACGTGACCTTGGAGGCGCTGGGACAACAACTAGGAAGATGAACAAAACAACCTTAGAAAACAAGATGGATGAAATTTCCCAGAAAGCAGAAAGTCGATGTTAAGAAAACTGAATTGCAAGGGAACAAATAGCCCCAATAGGTGGCTAAGTGTCAACGAGGACATTAAATGCAATGAAGGTGTGGCCAGATCGCTACATCGTGTGAAATGCAAGTGTGCCGCACACGGACAATACGGCGAAATATGGTGCGCATTCAGTGTGACGCAAATGCTAGAAAGCAAACTGATGTGGAATGCGAGAGCCAGCTGCTGCACGACACAGGGCAAAGAGATAAGAAAAAATGGAGGACACTATGTGAAGGCGCTTGAGACCAAGCTGCATCAAAAGACAACGAGCAAAAGTCAGAAAAATAAGGAAAGAGGCAGGATTGGATTGCTTACAAAAGGATGAAAAGACGTGAGTTAAATGGTAAAACCATATTTCAAATCCGAGTTCAGCTCAGTTCAATCGATTAGAAATATTTGGAGTGCAACTTAAGATCGATCGCTGGAGGAAGCTGAAGTGTAGTATTGAAAGCAGCACTAATGGGAGAAATTCCGTAGTGCTAAACATTGGTAAGCGACAACAACGAAAATAGCAGCAGCAACAATGGCGGAATAGACGCTTGTCCCGGGTGCATAAAGCTCATTCTTGACTTGTCCTGGACACGAACAACGACACTGCAAACAACAATAATAACCAGTGCGATGTTCAGATGGCAAGGGCGGGATCGCCCAAGTGCAAACTACCCGTAACCACACGCATCGTTCAGGTGACTGTCACAGTTTAGCAATTGCGGGACTAATGCTCAGTGGCTGGCTCTTATCCCAAAGCAAAACACGCCAGGCACATGAAAGACAAAGTTGTAGTCTAACCGGCATGTTGTACAACGCAATGATGCACTATTCTAAACTAGGCCAATCGATAAATGGGTGAGCGGGTTACTGACACACACCAGCGGATGCAGGCAACGAATAGCAAGGACTCAGTACATTGGCCGTGAGGATGCTACATTCCTTCTCCCTTTAATTTGGACCACTGCAGCTAGCCTGATATCGGTCGACGCACAGGCGTAGACGAGTTGAAGGGCGAAATGGCTGAACCTCCGTTTGGCCTGCGCGTTTATCAACTCAGTATGCTGGTTTGAGGACGCGTCATCTGGCGGAGTTGAAACGGGACGATGACGGACGTAATCCTTGTGCCGAGTAACTACTCTGCCATCATATAAAGTAACCTCTGTATGTTGTCCCGCAACTTCGCGCAACTCTCCAGGCTGCCAGATCGTTTCGTTGGGCAACTTGACATAGACCGGCTCATTCTCGCAGAATCTTCGATCGGAAATCTTTCGGTCGTACTCTGTCTTAGGTTTATCTTGCTTAGCCTCGACACATATTTTCTGGTCAGGACACAGAAGATCCAGCCGTGTCCTCAACGTCTGTCTGAACATCAACTCGCCTGAGCTCTTCCCCGTAGTTTCGTTTGATGTTGCTGTAGCCAAAAAAAAGTTGTTCGCAGTGGAGCAGAGGTTTGTTTCCGTAACCCGTTCTTGACTGTCTGGACGGCTCTTACTGCCAACCCGTTTGAAGCTGGGTGGTAGGGGGCTGATTTCACATGATGCATACCGTTGCTTGAAATGCTTCACTAGTAAATACGGAACCGTTGTCTGTTACCAGCGTATGTGGTATACTAAAGGTACTGAAACATGTCTGCATGCAAGAAACGGTCGTCGCAGAGGTGGCATGTGCAAGTGGAAAAATTTCTACCCATTTCGAATAAGCATCAATCAAGAGAAATATTTTTTCCATTCAAGGGGTCAATAACATCTGTATGAATGCGTTTCTAAGGTTTACTGGACCGTTTCCAAGGACTAAGTGGTACAGAAGGGGTATTCTTCTGAGTGCATTGACGCACGCCGCAGTGGCGGATCAACTCTTCATCTCTGGCAATATTAGACCTCCACATGTAGGATCGCGCAAGTGCCTTCATTCTCCTGATTCCTGGGTGCGTTTCGTGTAGTTCTTGTAAGACATTCTGTCGGCACAGTGGTGGTGTGATCGCTCTAGATCCCCATAGCAGACACCCATCCTCGAGACTAAGCTCTGTGCGTTGGATAAAGTAAGGCATTAGTTGCGGTTCACAGCTGTCAGGCCATCCTTGAGAGACTAGACCTTGACTTTGGCCAGTAATATATTCCGTGCAGTTTCCCGACGGATATAATAATAACAATTAATAATAATAATAACAATAATAATATGTATATTTCTCTTGATGAGGGAAAGTCTATAGCGGCACAGATCAATTTGTACAGAAGAATCCATGCTCTTGAATGGGTGACATGCATAGGTGGAGTATTGGGATATCTGCATTTGACACCGGGCTTTCTCCCAAATGTTGCAGCAGACGGATAACCTCCACAGATTTAAGTACACAATCTGGTAGGTGATTCAGTGGCGCCGAGCGTCCGCGATTCTATTTTCTTTCCCAGGGACATAAGCGATCCTGTAATTGTAAGCGGAGAGCAATAAAGCTCAATGTTGCATACGAGGTGATACCATCTGGTTTATGCCTTTTTCTCACCAATCAGGGTTAACAGAGGCTTGCGATCAGGAAAGATTACGAATTTTCATCCTCACAGATACTGGTAGAATTTACTGACTCCAAAAATAATCGCTTAAGCTTCCGTCGAGCTGCGCGTAGCTCTTTACCGCTGGTGCCAAACTTCTGGACGGAAAAGCTATTGGTCGCTCGGTCATGTCTTGCATTTGGTGTGATAGGACGACCCCGAGCCCTGTGGGTGACGCATCGAAACGAAGAGTGATCGATTTCTTTGGGCCAAAATACACTAACAAGCGAGCGCTACTGATAGCCAATCCGACAGCATCTTAAGCTTTCGTTGCTCATTGGACCACAGCCACCCGGTATTCTTATGAAGTAAAGTATACAATAGTGCGAGAAGACTAGCCAAACTGGGTAAGAAAAGACTGTAATGGGTTACCATCCCAAGAAATGATTGCAGTTCGTTAATACGTCGGGGCGTTGGGGAAACCAGAATGGGTTGAATTTTTTCCTGTTTGGGATGTAACCCGTGATTGTCCAAACGAAATCCAAGATACCCAACGGTATCACAAAAGAAGACACATTTAGATTCCTTGAGTTTCAGTCCGCTCTCCTGAAGGCGTTTCAAGACTGTTGCAAGTGCTATCATATGTTCGTAGTCGGTACGACCAGTAACCAAAATGTCGTCCAAGTAAGTGCAAACTCCGGGTATGCCTTTCACTAAGTTGTCTATAATTCCCTGAAAGATCGCCGGCGAGGAGTGTATCCCGAATGGTAACCAGTTATAGCAGATTAATCCCATGTGTATTAATGGTGGTATTTTCGTTTGAGAATTCCTGTAGCTCCGCTTGAGAATAACCATGGCTTAGATCAAGTTTCGAGAACTTTTGTCGACCCGACAAAATTGCGTAAATGTCATCTATCCGTGGAATCGGATAACGTTCCATCGTCGTCACTTGACTGACCGTCAGTTTATAGTCGCCGCAAATGCGAACTGAGCCATCAGGCTTCGGTACAGGAAAGATGGGTGCAGCTAAGGAAGAGTGGCGTACAGGTGAAATTATCCGTCCTTTTGTAATCGCTCCAATTCTAACTCTACCTTAGGACGAATTGCGAAAGGCAGACTTCGTGCCTTGTAAAATTTCGATTAAGTCTGCAGTTTGATATTCAAGCAAGCTTTGAAATCATGTAATTTCCCAGGTATGTTTGTATCGAAAACAGTGGCAAAGGCCTTCAAGAGTGTAGATAAGTCAGAAATACTGTCCACCTTGACAGATTGTAATATTTCCGGTATACTGAGCCCGCATGGAACTGGTGATGGTCGCATGGTAGCGAAGCACCGTTACGACGTACAGCCGACACATTATTATTATTATTCTTAGTATATTTTAACCAGTTAATCCCAAGTAGGTTCCGTACATCTATGTTAACCACGATTAGAGGAAGAGTCAACGTATTGTCCCCATGATTTACTTTCACGTCACACACGTCTAAAGCATCGAGTATCTCCAAAGTGTATGATCGTAAGTTAGATTGAGTCCGAGTCAGAACCAGGTCGGGAAAAGTTCTGTTGTTGATCAATGCAACCGAGGCCCGGATAGCAATCTCCAGACGTATTGGCTGGCCTTCGACGTTTAAATCAACAATGTAGGGGAGTATACGCATTGTGTGCGAATTTAAATAGAATATGGATCGTCAACGTTTTCCACAGTTCGAACAGTACCCTGGGCAGGGCGGAGTATCGGTCATTGAACCACAGTCGAACGGCATACGCGTGTAATATATCCGACCTTTCTGCACTTGTTTGTTTGTGTCTGCAATCGGTAACCTTTTCATGCTTCTCACCGCATCGGTAGCAGGTAACGAAACGTTTGTTGGTGGGTGGTAAAGATTTGACCGCAAGGACGGTATCTGAAAGAGAATCACTTCGAGAATGAATTAATTGTTTCGCAACGCTTTCCCTTTGCCTGGCCAGTGCGCAGGTTGTTTTCCAAGCAAGTTTATTGTCGTCTTCTGATTGCAGACGTTCTCTAGCTTTGTCTTCTCGAATACCAAGCAAAAGGCATTGCACCGCCACCGTCCCTACGAATTTCGTTGCGGGAGTTTAATTGTAACGGCAGTCAGAAAGGGTATGTTGTATACGGCTGATGAATTCATTAACACTCGCCTCTTCTCCTTGTCGTAATAAAGAAAAACTTTGGCGTGCCGTAAAAGTAGGTTGTCGCGGTTCCCCATGGCCATCAAGGGCGTTAAAACAGTCCGTCAGGGTCATTTTGGATTACATGTTGTGTGATTGGATTGCGACGCACAATCCCAATGTGGACCGCGATTCACACTGAAGTGAACCGCGATCACTGGGACCATAGCCAAAGCGGATGAAAATTAGGTGTTGCCTGTCCGTCAGGGATGTGATTTCGTAAAAGCGCCACGCATCAAAATGTCGTTGGCCTTCTGCACCGAGGTGTTGCTCAGTAGTGTGATAGATTGAACTTCACTTTGATGTGGGGTGTAGTTGTGAAAAGCTCAAGGTAGTCAAAGAAGGTTCGTTCCCAACGTCTTCAAACTGCTTGGACGACGTGTCCTTCCAAAAGGGATCAGACGGAGTGAGATGGGTCATAGTAACTAATTCCAAGTTTGACCTTCGTCGCCAAATGTCAAAGTTGAGCAATTGCGAAACTAACGCACAATGGCTGGCTCTTAGCCGAAGCAGCACAAAGCAAAACACGTCAGGCACATGGAAGGCAAAACTGTATTCTAACGGGCATGTTGTACAATGCACTGATCCACTATACTAAACTAGGTCAATCGATAAATGGGTGAGCGGATGCCGTCAACGAATAGCAAGGGCTCAGTACATTGGCCGTGAGGATGCCACAGTAAGCAAGTTGAACAACTCAGGCTGGCATTCAGATGATAGCCACAAAAATTCCGTAATAAAGCACATCCAGATTGTTAGTTATTGATAATAAGTGAACAGTACGCGCTTTGCGAGGGCAAACATTAGTGGTAACCTCCTATTAGTCTATAACGATCAGAAGTATGAGCACAATATCAGCTACATATTTCCCTTTAGATTAGTCTACACTAAGAAAATTGTGCAGGCTCACTTCTTTCTGTTCCTTCGTGCCAAATTCGAAAAACTTTTGAATTACATAATTTCCGAAGACATCAGTCATCAACTTGCCGGATTGCGGCAGAATTTCAGCAAAAACTGCGTTTTTTTCTGCAGTAGTCGCTGTCTCCAACTTTTGCTGTATGAACCGTGAGCCATGTTGATCCCGAGCAAACTCCACTATATGTTCCCGCAGCTGCGAAAGGGTTAGCTGCTGAAAACGTCCAGTAGAATTGCGAAACTCTTCGAGCAAAGGACTGCGATTCGATGAAGCTGGAGTCAGCGAACCACCAGGGGTAGAGACGCCTGGGGAAGGGGAAAATGGACATGCTACAGAGAAGCAACAATGAATCAAGGGAACCGGATGCGAAGTCTAAACAGAGGAGATGACCATCATGACAAAGTAGAGTGATGTGCGATGAAAACAAACTACATATTATTGTCACATTAGTACATTTGAGTAAAGTATAGACAGAAGTTATCTGGAAGAGAGGATAGTCGGTGCATGGGATTCACGATATGCGCCGAACAACCAGGAACCAAAGACCGTAGTACGTATCTTAAAGCAAAAAATTCCATTGTAAAAAGATGTTACCGCAGATGATCAACGGTTGAATTGGAAGTACAAACAATTTTCGGTACTACATCGGAACCATTATGTTTTAATTTTTAAATAATCTGTTATGAAGCTAGTGACATGGTCGTATACATTCCCTATACTTCCGAATGTATGCGTATTTTCAAGCATATGAATTGGTCCAGTTTCCGTGGTCAAGCTACACGAAAGAAAATAAAAGGAACAAAAAAGAAGTGAAGAAATTCTACGCAAGAACACCATGCAAAATGGAGGGTTGCACTTCGGAGGAAAAAGCTTAGAAGTATGAGGGTGCCTATTTCACAAGCGTCAATATCAGATGGCCCCTTGCAAAATTAGAAGACCTCAAAAGTGTGATAGAATGTCGTGAATATGCTCGCGTGGGCATCATTAAGCTTCAGAAAACCTGACTTAATGTTGATGCTCAAGATGTAGTCGCGGAACTCGAAGGACTTAGCGGTTATTACATTGACCGGCAACGTACACAGAGAGACTGCGATGGCGGCGTTATAACGGATTATTTACTCACTGTGATCGTCCATTAAAGAATTTCGGTTGCTTCAAAGCTTTTTGAGAGACTTATTCTTAAGAAGATCTCAACCCAGACGCAGTTGAATGACCTTTAACAGTTTGCACATCGCAACATGTCCGGTACACACTGTGCCTTCGACGCTTAAATAATCCATCCGCATCTGCTTCCTGGAACGGCTGCAGCGCGATCTAATAGATTCTGGAGTTCACCTTTCTGTTCAAAGATTATTTTACCAAGCGTACGCAGTTGACCAGGGTTTTGGGCAAAAACTTTTCTTCACTCACCACGAATTTTGGTGTCCTCCAGAAAGCAATTTCGTCCCCATTCCTAGTTTCCACTTACCCCAATTCCCGTCTCTGAAGATGCCATTTTGCTGAAGTATACTGACGAGGTAACCCTTGGCATCCATCATTCGAGCATAGCCACCGGTAAAAATATAAACTGCTGAACATTACAAAGTGCAAGGATGTCCTTTTTGCAATTGAAAAGAAATCGGTCCCAGCAAATCCTAAGGCAGTGCACGCAACTATGCATCCATGATGTGGGTCAGACTTGTCACGTCAGTAAAATACCTGGGATTAACACTGAACGAAACATTCACCATAGGAGACTCGCATTTTATGTTACACGTCCCAGGTATTTCTTCCATACACCGATTTTTGATCTAGCGTTGTATCATTGCATCTCTCTCTCTCTCGTGATCTTACTTGATCTCCTGAGTGAGGACTTCAAAGTAATTGCCATATCAGTGCCTTGTGTTTGACTCGAGACTTTACAGGACATGGCTCGCAAGCGACACCAGTGGCGCGTCTGCTGCCGTCTCCTAGTCGAAGTGTCTGTTTAAAGTGTGTTTCAGGCTGAGTTAGCTACGGGGCAGTGAAAGCCGCAAGGAAGCTGTCTCGCCGATGCCACATTATCCTTGCACGATAGCCAGCTGTTTGCGTCAGTATGTTGTCTAAACAAGGTGTAGGCGCCTTGACCCCGAATGTTTGCTTAGGGCACTAAGGTTTTCTCTTCTCTCCCTCTCATTATTCTTTGCTGTTTAGGTCATCCTGGTCGTATGGTAGCGAAGCATCGGTTCAAATGACTGATGTACTGTTGTTGTTGATGAAGCATCTATCCCAGTGTAGTGGATTTCAAAACTGGAATTTGTTTTCACTATTGTAGCCAGTCAAGTAAACTCATGAAACAAACTTGCACCTAGAATACTCACCGATGTTAGCCATCCACTCCACAGTGTTGTCTGAGTGCGTATCAACCACCGCAACCAGGCAGAGCTATAAAACTATATACGCCCGCATAAGGGCATATGGTACATTAGTAGTTCTTTGATTGTCATGTTTTTGACCGATAAAAATTCGATCATTCAACAACTAGTTATTAAATTATTTCAGTGATAACAGTTCTGCCACGATTTTTTAACAATTGTGTTTTTATATCTGTCCGCATGTACTATGCTATCTGGCCCTGTCCGTGGCGTATGTTAGAGCTGAATATTCACCATACGTGGGCGCATAAAGCACATCCTTGATTTGAAAGCCTGAATACCAGCGTACGCCAGTATCCACTCAGAGCATATGGCATCGCTTGTTGGCAAGTATCTATGCGCTCGCAGTGTCGTCGTGAGTATCCGCCGAAATGCACTCGCAGAGCAGTAACACAGGTGCATAGTACGAGTGCATATTTAAGCTTCAAGTCGTGTGGCAACTTTGAGTGTGTGCTATCCAACGGAAACTGACTGCGATGTGATTGACTTGCATCCATGAGTGGTGAGCGCCAGGTACTTCTGCGGTGAGTGCTGTTCGCAAGAAATGGGCAGGTGTTCTTACACAAATGCAGCAACTGTCCACCTCTATCACTACGGGAGTCTATGCCGAGTTGGCCACTCAGATACAGCATTTGATTAGATAGGAATAAAAACTTGAGAGTTCAGACATCAGGCAGTCCTACAGTACCTGTACTTTTCCTCTGACGAAGCAGTGAGGATAAAGGCGCTCCACCACGGAGTCAGTGCTAGTTTTGGAAAATGCAAGCAGCAATGACAGACATCCGCTGTCCTTACGTGAATTAGAATCTTTGAAAAAAGGAAGCTAATCGGACGGTGCACACACAGCCATGGATTTGAGTAGAATCGATCACAGAAATGCCCTCACTGGCTTGACTGGTATTAAGAATTGCGTCACCCCCAGATAGATGCAATGAGAAAGCGTCACCAGTGTCACATGAAACGGATCGTAGTAGGAGGACAGACCTGGAGTCTTGCAACTAAATTTCCAATAAGCAGATATCGATCGATAGGGTCTCTGATATCCGGGCATGCTGCCAGTTGATCGATCTGCAACAAAGTGCGCAGGTTAAGACATGACGGTAGGCGAGAATCGACGGCTATATATAGAAGCGGGTGGACTTTTTTATTTGAAGTAAAGAGGACTGTGCATACCGACTACAAACTACGTGGTCTATGGTCAACAAACCGTTGCACGTCTAGCGTCACAGGGGAGTGTCAGTGGATGTGTCTGCCACCACAGAATAAGCAATTGAAAAGGTCGGATTCAATTTGTTCGACAGGGAATACAAGAGGAACTAGTCTGTAACAAAGACCTTCCGTTTGCCGGTGCCAGGTTGCTGTTCTGCATAATCAAGTGGGAACAAGCACACTGACAAAGCAGGGAACTTTGTGGCAGTTTGTAACTGCAAGCTTTCATTTTGTGACGTACATCCCCTAACGTCATTTTGGCGGCCTTATTGACCGTTCACAGTCGTTGCTTCTGGTGGCTTACTACAGTTTTCCCCCTGAAGCAGAGAGATACAAGCTTATTGGCCAGGACAGGGGTGTACAACATTGCGATGCAACCAGTGTTACTCTGCGAATCACAGATTTGGGCAATGCGCGTTGACGACATCAGAAAACCACATTGATGAACCACCGATGCCTGCACCCTGTCGCTCGTGTATCGTGGGAGACTCGGATGAGTAATGAAGTCCGGCATCTGGCATAAACCTCTCTAGCGTCTCTTTGATGTGCCTCTTGAATTCGAATCGTTGCCACCAGCTCGAACATGGGATACCCATACCTGCAGCCTGCATCGCCGACGTGTTGTTTATCAATATTGCATTCAGTTGGGTGAGACGTTGTGGTAGTCAGTCAGTAGATAAACAAAGGCACGTAAGCACTAACCGGAAGACTGAGCAGGATTGGTGTTTGCCACTATCCTGAACGAAGGGAGCGTGACGTCGGCCACATCAGTGTTAGGACGCTCAATCTCGTATGTTCCTATGAAAATTGCGATGTGATTCGCGTATCCGATTATTCATTTCGGATCAGTGAGTACTCTATCAGACGACTTTTTTCCTGCGCATCTTGTTATTAGTAGCATATTATTATTCTGATGAGCGTTGTCAGCGATCAATCGACTCGCAGTGAACGGATTTTAGTTAAGGAACTTTAATGAGGTAGACATTTGCTCTATGGCCATGCATTATGAAGGAAGGAAGAGATAGTTAGCCCCGACGCTGAGACCCGGACAGAATGGTCAACATGTCAGTGAGTTGGACGGCTGTTTTGCTGTGGCGAGATGCTAGGCATAAAACAAGCATGTTGAGAGTAGCGTGAACACGTCAACCATAAACAACACTAGAACCGACTGTGTAGTCGACGCAAATGGAATAATCAATGTAGTCGTGCAATGGCAAGGAAACTGTGTTACAGGTCGCACGAATCTGTGCAAACACAGTCGCAATCCACAAACTGACAAAGGAAAGATAACTTGTACGCGTTTATGTCGATTTCATATGTTAAATTCACGCTGATAAAAAGGCAACAAAGTCGAATTAGTAGGAATATGAAGCGGGAACAGTAAATGCGACTGTTATTCGGAGCGGAGGATTCGTGTACGTCGGGCAGATGGAATAATCAATTGATCGATGTGGGCGTAGAACACGAACTAACCAATGGTCACAAGCAGTGTGCATGAGCAAAAAATTGAGTAGTCAATATATCGAACGCAGTGCAACTAACACGATGGCACCTCAACTACTATTCTATTGTGGTTCATGATTGCAGGATGGGCCAATCCACAACGCTTTGACGTATTGGTAATGGGTGCAACGGATAAAGCTTAGCAACCCGAGTGTAGATCGGAATTAAAATGCATCTTAGGAACAGGTAACAGTCACTGTGAAATAAAGAGTATACATAAAAGTAAAGTGCACACCGTACCGTCAAAAGTGAATGGATATGATGCAGAGCACGGGAATCCAGCAGAAGGGGGTAGCCCAGGACTACGGGACAAATTCGGTGGTTGGGGATGTACCACATCGTTCGTTCGGCCGACGGAAGTATGAGAGGTGGCAGCATGGTTTACTATGGTAGCATTAACCCCCGGTATTGCAACGCTTGAACTCGTAGGAGGCTCCGATTGGAGCACATTCATCATCGGAAGCATATTCATGGCCTGGAAAAGGGAATCGACATGGATAAGAGGTGACGAATATGTAGCCATTAGCTAGAAGTATAAGTTAGCGAGACTGGCGGATAAAACCTACATTGGGCATGGTAAATGAATTCGCAGTAAGCCCAGTCGTGCTGTGTTGGGTACCGTAAACACCGAGGCAAGTGGCTGATGCAGATGGATTGATTGGACCAGTGAGCAGCCCGGGTGGAGCGCTCACAGGAACGGGAGCACACATGGTCACCATAGGGTTAATGCTAACAGCACCAGAAGAGGCAGGCGGAAACTGTGGTGGAGGTGGGTGCAGAGGCTGTTGCTGACTGGCAGTGAGTAGTTGCTGTTGGTGAGCTTGAAAAAAGGCAAATGCATTCGCGGCCATGCGTTGTGAATCGATGATCGATGGATTAGTTGACGGCTGAGCGCCATTTAACATCGTCAAGGACCCGCTATTTGATCCACTGGGTACGTGGGCCAAAGCGCCTGGATTAGCCGCCATTCCGCTTGCAAGTTGCTGCATAAAGAGGCTTAGCATCAATGGGTTCCAAACAGGCCCTGAAAAAATAGATGAAACGGAGTAGATAAATCGATAGCAATTACGGTGTTACAATATATTCTGACGAAGTGATAGCTTTATGGATGAAGCCAGTGATTCAGAAAGCACGTGGACCGGAGGCACAAAAACGGCCGATAAGTACAGGCAGCTGGTTTGTACAAGCTCAAGCAGTTACTATAATGAGTTGGCTGCTGGGACTCGGATGCAAACCATCTGACCAGCAGCCTGAAGAGTCAACAAGACTACGTTAATGAGCAGACACATAAAGTGGAATCCAGCAACTGGAGTGCACAAAAATAATTACCTTGGGTGAAAGAGGGTGGCAACTGTCCAGCTGCATTCAAACCTGACGGAACGAAGAGAGACATGGCCATAGACAACTGATCCATGGGGTTCGACGGTGTACTTGCCATCGCCGTAGTTGAGTGGGGAGATGTGTAATCCATAGCTGAGGTAGTGACGTATGAATTAGAGCAAAGCGGGGACGTGGATACCGCAGGAGGTGCACACCCATTAGACATTGGACCGGTAACGCCATTGGGAGAAATGTTGAGCAATGTGCCAAGACCAGGAGGTGGCATGAAGCTAGGAGCCTTCAGAAACATTCCCGCGGTCTGAGATGAATCGACAACCTATAGAAGGACAGAGGACAACGAAACGATATATCAAACTGAGAGCAGAAAGTGCAAAGGAATATGCTTATAAGGAGAAAGTGGCGTGTATTGAGCAATACGAGCGACTGATGTCAAAATTAAACCATAAAGCTTGTAAACGAACGCAAGAACAGACGGTCAAACGTTTTCAATGGTTGGACGCACGGTCTTTTGGATGCAGAAACTGATGTTCAACGATTATATCTAAGTGTGTTGATATAAAACTTGGCCAAAATAATAACACAGATTAAGAACCGTAGGGAGTACATGAAGGTATGTCAATTATTGCATGAGATGCAGATACCGGATAGGTGAAAAAGCAGCAACTTGCCGCAAACTGTTGTTGATGTCCCATACTTGCGGTCAACTGTTGTTGTTGTTGTTGCGAAGCCGAGAGATTGAGGGGCGGTGGTAGACCAGTCGAGACAGATGCAGACGGAACGGAGCAGTTAGGGTGGCCAAACATGTAAAGTGACGGAGTGCCGTAAGGATTTAAATTGATATTATTGGAACTGGCGGAAGCCAATGGGAGCCCAAGTACGGTTGTACCACCGTTACATGACTCAGAGCCCAAGTCCGAAAGTGCAACCGGACCCAGATGAGATGGTTGCGGTTGTTGTGAAGTTGCCGTGACCACACTCGGTCGAGAGTAGAAATTTGGACCGACAGAGGCCAATGAACTAAAGGGTTCGCATGAAGCTCCGGACGAGGTTGCGAGCTGGTTGGATGCAACACCGACGACACAGTCCAGTACACCGGAAGGAAACAGATCATGTGGCCCACCACGGAAAGTTGTAACCACTGGTCCATCGGGCAAACTTGCATTCCACAAACAAGATCCCGTCATAGGTAAATCGGCATCGGACGTATTTGTCACCAACTCTTCATTTGAAGTTGAGCTATACAGATGACTGGTGCCAGTGGGTCCAGTATCCTTACACACGGGGAAAAGATTACGCCAAGGAGCGCCACGCTTCAAAAATAGAGTTAAGAACGAGAGTTCATTAATTTCAATGTAAGAGAGTTGAAGCATGGACAAACATCAGTAGTTAAGTTAAAAACAGAACCAACGAAAATTGTGTCAAGTGGGAGGAACTAACCGGTAATTCACAGGCGGTCTCCCAATTCCAGGGTAGAACTTCCCCGACACTCACAGGTGTAGGGTTCAAACTCGCAGCGTTTCGATCAGGCATCCCATCTTGCGTTATGTCATCTCCGGCAGCCGAGCAGTTGCCAGAAGTTATGTTGAGACTGTTATCTGCTTCTAAAATGGGATCAGACAGCCAAGCATTATGCGATCCTGTGTTCGTACCACGTGGTTCCCAAATCGACAGTATATCCAAGGCGGCCATCGACTGGGGTGTTGGCGAACAGCGGTTGGTGTCCAAATCTCTAGTTATAGTGGGAGTATTGGGGGAAGCCGTTAAACTAGTGCTCAAATGTCGCCCAGGCGTTGACACTGCGTCACCGGTGCTGCCACCATCGCCGGGTAGAGACAGTGCGTCTCCACTTGCTCCATTACTGTACGCACCAACGGGTGGCCCACTCGATCCGAGAAGACAAAGGCCATTGGAAGCGTCCTGCTGACAGAGAGAGTGTCGCAAACATGACAGCAAACTAGAGCTGCAATTAGTCCCAACGCCAGTGTCACTTCCGGGTGTCACACTGAGGCGTCGCTCAGCACCCACGGCCCATATTTGGTTTGCACGCGAAGATCCGATGACAGACATACTGTGGAAATGGTTCGCCAACTGCTCATTCGGATTCGAACTGAGATCAATTCCCAAATCGTCTTTGTTGGTGGAAACAGCAGAGTTTGTACAAGAAGCATTAAAATCGGGTCCATCATCGTCAGTCAAACAAAGCCCGTGAGGAAATTGTGGTGTGCTTGAGTCCTGGAACAGAGGGAGGCCAAAACTGGGCTGAAAAGGAACAATTGAAAAAGGAGTGACTAGGCACTACAGTAACTAGGTGCAGAACCCCAAAAGTAAACAAAGTAAATGCTCAGAAATAAAGAACAGGAAAGGCCAGCAGCCGTGTGCATGACAAAAGTGACATGACCAGCTGGAGATTGTAGTGGCGATATCTTGACAAACCATTGACCCACCGCTGCTCTTGTTCCGCCGTGGACGGCTCTTCGTGGCGACCGCTAGGTAGGAGTTGGGTTGCACCTCTCCTAGATAAGAGTCAGGGTACACAGTCGACTGATTCATAGCGTATATCCCGCTGCCGAACGAGAGCACATTTTATCGAACGCTTTGACAGAGGATTCGCATCGTTCCCCTGTTCAAGCGTGAATGTTATGGCAATATATCAGTCGAACTATAAACCATGAACTACAGACTACCTGATGTCGCATCAATCGTCGTATAATAATAGAAGAGGGATTTACTTAAAAACCTTCATGCTGTAATCAAACATTCAGGATCAAGGCGCCTACATCTTGTGTTAACAGCATACCGTCACGAACAGCTAGCTATCGTGTGAAGATAAGGCGGCATCCAAGAGACAGCTTTCTTGCAGTCCGGGCGTGTGACGGCTGTCTGACTGAGTCTAGATGTGATGATCTTTCACCTATGCAATTCAATTCCCTCTACTACTCCATCGTATACAGTACGAAGACCAAGCTGCTCGTAATGTCACACGTTAATTGGCAGATTATGTTTGGTAAGTTCGTCGCTTAATGAGGGGGCAACCCTGACCTCTGCACGACAGTAACGCACAAGTCGGTTGTGCTAGAGCACATTTTGTAACTTAGCCACATCCTCCCGTCAATTGCAGTAGATGTACCGTGAACAAACCATGGTACTCGCTGTTCGTCGACTTCAACAGGACATCTGACACGGTGAACCGCGAGGCACTGTGGATGGTTCTGGATTAGTTCGGATGCCCCGGAAAGCATATTTGTTTGATGACATGTACTCATAGTGGTACGCGGAAAAGGCGCGGCTGTGTGGACAAACTTCGGATGACTGATGTTGACTCTGATGTGAAGCTAGGTCATGTCTTGTGCTTTTACTGCTAGTAAACACGGCGTCTGTCTCGAGCACCGCACCAATGGTGGATTGCTAGGAATTTATAAATTAGAAGCCAGAAGCGTTATATGTGAAACAACTGCACGGAGGCTGATAGTAGCCAATGATTGTGCGCTATTTGCACATAGTAAGGATAAGTTGCAATCTGCTGCTAGCTCTATTTTTGCGGGAGTTACGTCTGATCAAATTTCAAAGCATGTGACCGTCATGCAATACAAAATTAATGGGAAAACTTAGCAGCTGTATATGTGCAGAAAGAAGGACAGTCATATTGCATTCATTTTCACAACGTGCAACTCCACCCCATCCACGTCGGGATCACTTTGTGCCCGTATACCCAAGAGCGTTTTCATTTTGCACCAACAGTCTAACCTACGAAACGTTACCATCATACCCACGAAGTCATTTTGCATTGGCCGTCTTCATACTGCACTTGTTTAAGAAGTATTTCTTGCAATGTCTCCACTAAAAATCTGACTGTCAACCGATGTCTATGCCATGTAATGGCGTGTCTAGCTTATTTAACGCGACCGCTCTCTCTTCAACGGCCGCCAAGCTTGGACTTGCCACCAATATAGATAAAAAATGTCTAGGTTTTTCGATTGTCAAAGGGAGTGGAACCCATGTGCTGCCCGCCATTCAAAATTATCGGCGAAGTTTCGAAGTCATAAAGACTTTCTCGTCTTAAAAACAGGCTGTCATCAGACAACCTGCGCACTTGCGTACCGAAAGTGTGTGTGTCTTCCGGAAAGCCATTAGAATTCTATGTTAGAGGCAAAAAGTGAGTTAAATGAGTAAATGTTGATGCAGCGTAATCGCGCTTTCCCGATTTCGTTTATAATCTAAAGCTAATAGTGGGATATATGTGGCCCCTGTGTTGTATCCTCACTGAAGTTGGTCTCCACATGTGCTCGTGAGTGTGTCTTGTCGCATGTTTGACAGCATTCGCTGACGAATATCAAAAGCTTGACTGCCTTTAAGGAATATTGACGGGGTGCCTACTAGAGGAAAACCGCCACCTAAAGTATTGGCTCCAGACCAGTGCTGATCGTTGCCGGGAAAGACAGGGTGCTAGACTCAAAGAGTGGTTCCATTCAGTGTGAAACTGTCCACGGTCTATGTACATCTGGTACACATACATCTCCAATTTCACATGAGCGATGTGCATAAGGAAGGAGTGTGGTTGGCTCCGAATCAATCGGGGCTACCATAATGCCTCCCGATCTTATTCCTACGAGAATTAAACTGGATGTGGGGTGTGTGAATGGAGCTGTGGGTGATGCAGCGGTAGCCACTTATGACCCCACTGTATGCGCAAACGACTTGTGGCTTTTCGTAGTCACAGTGACGGGCAAATTCAGAAATAGAAGGGTTCAGGCACAAACATTAATCTATACAGAGTGTCCCAAAAATGCATACGCACATCAAATACTTATAGACTAGATGCTTATTTTGTATAATTTTACAAGATGTAAAACATTTACAAACATCATTTCATTGCTTTTCATCGCCTGTTCCGAAACTGACGTCTGTTCTGGACCAGACACTGTTGACGGTACAGCGCAATGGAATAGCACACAGCATGAAACAATTCCCTTAATATTTGAGTGCATTCCCGTTCAATATTAACTCTCAAAGTAGGGACTCTTGCAGTTTTTATTGCGTAGATTTTGCATATATATATATATATATATATATATATATGTATCGAGGGGTGATTGTGCTAATATAAAAGGCATAACAAAGTCGGTGTGCCATTAAGGCATAAAAACTGCCACTAGGGTCACAAAGAACAGGCGTCGCTGAATCTATGCGCAAACAACGGAAAACGACAAATGCCTCAATAAACCGACTGGCTTGATAGAGAAGCACACCACTTGATTATGTTCAGTCTGGAGCTGCAGTTTTAGAGAAAACCCTGATTGATGTGATGTGATATGAAATCAAAATGAAAAGAAAGCAACAGTTGTAGCCTTATGTGAACCAGAGCGTAGAACAGTGTCTCCAACGATCACGGTGTGTCTGGCCAGGTGCCGGACATAATTACTCGCGAGCTGATTGGACGACAGTGTAAACTAATCAATGCCTGGTAGCATTGCTGTGGTTACCTACGAAGTACGTAGGCGTGGCGCGGTTATCGATGCTACTCCACAGGGCGCTTTGGGTCGATCGATGCAATGTTAAATGAAAAACAGCAGCGAGAAGGACAACTAAGTGATGAGGAATATTATAAGTATGGTATCATGGAAGAGTGTAAATATGAGAAACAGACCGTAAGACAGTAAAGTTGACAGGGAGGATCAAAATAACAAGCAGTAAGCAGCAAAATGGCCAAATCACTCCCCGTGTGAGTTTGAAGCCTAAATTTAACTCTGGTGAGGTGGATATAATAAATAGAGTGTAATGGGACATCTGACCACTAATAATACACAGCAATTTGACTAGAAAGTGCAGTAAAAGATTCGAACAAAGCCTTTCAAAAATCATCCGTGGGAGAAAAACGGAGTTTCGCTCCTTGAACCGACTTTGACAGCGACACATGATCGGACACGAAATGTTCATACTATCTGAAGTCCCTGTATGCTGGAAACGGGATGATTCAAATAAGCTGACCGTGAGACACCAGTGTGCGTCAGTTGTTTGAGATGCGAGCATTCATCCGGGGTGAATGCAAAAACGAAACGGAAGCTAGGTTCATGGAATCAGCATTGTACTTCCGGCGTCCAGCATGTTTGCTAGAATTAGAGATTTCACAGCCAGTGCAAAAACGAAGCATACCAACACAAAAAGTTAAAATTTGAAGCAGACAACTCAATTTTGACACAGCGACAAACTGCAGAGCAAATGGTAGGATGGAAACCATGGTGACAAGACAGGACCTTAGCGGTGTGATGACCTGCGTACATCCAAGCCCAATAGAATGCGCTCACAAACTGCCTTTGGAGCCACTCAAACCAGACAGAACAATGATCAGAAATCAGCATTCTCTCCGGAGGTTAGGGAGAGGTCGATGACATTCTCTTCAAGCTTAGCCATGAAAGACAACAAGCTACACTCCATAAGCTTGCAGTTCGATTGGTGTAGAGCATAAATGTTCCGCGTTGTCTCTGACGGTGGGAGAGTAACATGAAGCCAGGTAAACCAGGCGCAAACCCGCCAAATCTCATCTGCGGTTGACTGTTGTCGCGGGTACACAACACACTAAGGCCTAAAAACCTGTGCGAACTGTTCTACTGAATCAAAGACTAGACACAGGGCAGCTGCGACAAAATCCATCCCCCGGAATGGGCAGCAGGAGAGCAACATCTGTCCTCTATTTCGCGTCGCCGACAATGTTTTTTTTGTTTCTTTTCCACTATCCCCCTGTCTAATAAGCAAAAGACTGCCACTAAAGCTATCGACGCATGTAACTCCGATCAAAGCAAGATTCTCATTTTACATTAAATCGTTTAACGCCCACCATCTGGGTCAGATCGGTCAACAGGCAGTAGTGACTCCCACTCTTAAATCTCTCTGCATCGATGTGAGCTGTTTCCAAAACACACATACATGACATTAGCGTTGTGACGAATCTCCAAACCTCTGATTACAAAGCTGCCGACAATGAAAACGTTTTTTGCGTCTCTGGAGGCACAGACTCAATGGCCTGGAGTAACTATGGTATCGGTATCGCCCTCTGCAAAAATGCTGCAAGGAATCTACTCAACTGAACACCAGTGAACAGTCAAATGTCTGCGATTTGACTCCGAACATCTACTGGAGTTAGTATGCAGTCTGAGAACAAAGTACCTACTGAGTGCTTCAGTTTATACCACAAACGACCGCAGTTCGGAGAGCATGAAAGATGAATTCTATCGACAACTCTAATCTCTTATCCATGTGGTAAA